TGTATTGGAAAGCAAAGGTGTTGTCTTGAGGGCTAAGGGGCAGCTGGCCCAAAGCAGGCTATTTTCAGTGGCCTCCTCTGCAGGGGAAAGTCGGACACTGAGTAAGGAAGACCGAAGGAGAATCGATGATTTGAACGGTGGTGCTGAGGAGAATACGGGACTTGGACCATGGCCTGCTGAAAGGACGCACCCATCTGGGTTGGAAGAAGTACAGCCAGAGTGCTCCTTAGAGGCCAGGCTGGCCAGACTTGGTCTCCCAGACTTTGGACGTGTTGTCAGGGGAGACCCGTCCCTCGAGCAGCACGTCATGCCGGGGAAAGTGGAGGGGCAGCGGAAAGGAGGAGGGGCCTCCAGGAGGAGGGTTGACACCGTGGCTGCAACCACGGGCCCTAATGTTGGAACCAGTGGAGGATGGAGCAGGGTGGAGTTGGGCTGATTCGACAGCACCTACGGGAACACACACAAGCCAGGATGGCTGAGGGCAGATGTCTCAGCTGCCACGCAGGAGACACAAGTCCAATTCCAGCCCACACCCCTCACTGGCAGTCACCATTCGCCTGCCAGTGGGCGCCTGCGTGCTGCAGTGGGCTGGACGGATTTCCGCTTCCAGAGTAAGGCGAGAAAGCCCTGGCAGAAAGCCCTGGCAACTCCTGGAGACCAGCCACCGAAAGCCCGTGGCCCACCACCACCAGCTCTCATTGGTATCCGCGCGTGGGGACGCCCGCGCGTTTCCAATGGGCACTTTTCATTTCATCGCCAGGCCGGGTTTGACAAGGCAGGAGGCACCCCTGAGCTATGCAGCCCGGCCTGCCTCCAGTCTTCCTCCGGCCCAGCCCTTGGGAGGTGGGGGGTAGGGGTGGGGTGGCACGGCGGGTACCTGCCAGGAGGGCGTGGATGTTGAGGCCGCGGTCCTGGTCGGCGGCGCTGCACACGTCCATCATGTAGGCGTGGCTGGGGTTGTCGGCCGAGTCCGCGCTGAAGTCCAGCAGCGCCACGCCGCACACCGTCAGCAGGATGCCCCACTTGTGGTTGTTGGCCGTGTCCGCCAGGGCGGTCCCGATGTCCCTGCCGTTGAGCAAGAGCGAGAGACCCAGCAAGGCCCCTGGAGACACAGAAGCCCAGGCTCACCCCAGGAACATCAACACCTTCAGGGCCCGCCCCAGGAGCCTGGAGAGCCAACTTCACTCCCGCCCCACCCCCAAGACCATTGTTTTGCGCTTGGGCCCAGAGCGAGATGAGCGTTCCTACTTTAAAGCAATGTTTTTAACCTTAAACAAACAGAGCAGAGAACTACATTGGCACAGTGGACGCGGGCTGGGCCACAGGCCCAGGGGTGTCTACGCAGTCAAAATGCTTTAAGACTCTCAGACTTTCCCCCAAAAGGATGCCACTGGGACGTTTATTTTCCATTTTATCTCAATGCCCAAACAACAGACCTATCGCCAGGACAAGTATGAAAGGACGTCTCCTTCCGAACCTTGAGGTACACTGGTCACTCCAGGCTCCCAGCAGGGGCTGCAGCAGGAATCCTGAAAGAGAGCACGCCGGGGGTCATCGCGTGGGCATGGGCAGTGCAGGGGGCCCCACACTGGCATCGGCCTCACCACACTGCGGGCACTCCTGCCCCCTCAGTGCCAGTGAAGGGCAAGTTGACGAATCGCAAAGCCCAGAGCTCGAGAACAAAAGAGAAACAGATTCACAAACCACTCCTTCTTTCCTGCCTAGGTCTCCTGCCAACCCTCATCATGCCTACTCCTCTTTGGGGTCCCAAGAAATGGCAGAGCCTCCCAGACCCCGAGCCACCTCGGTCTGCTCTGAATGCCGGGACCGGAGGCGCTAATCCCCGGGGTGTGCTCAATTCCTGTTCCACCCTCCGACTGCCTAAGTACCTGATCACATGGGCTGTGAGCAGCGCCCCTGGGTTTGTCTACAACCCCCTGCTGCTGAGGGCGAGCCAACGCTTGCTCCACCTGGGTCCCCCCATGAGGCTCCTGGAAGTTTCTGGAGCCCTGGCGGCGGAGGCGGCGGGGGCCAAGGTGGCGCTCACCAAGGATGGGGCTGATGAACCACACCAGGCTGTAGAGCTGGTCGGGCAGGCCCATCTGCAGGAGCACCGGGGTCACATAGGCCGTCTCCATGGCGTAGCTGAACTCAATGCCAAACAGAATGCAGCCGTTGAAGAGCAGCTCCCGGAAGGACCGCGGGGGGCGCAGGTCCCCAAAGTCCACCAGCTCGATGGGACAGGGGGTGTTGGGTGGCGGAGGGGGAGAGGGGCGGATGCGCTTCCTCCTCTTGGGGTGTCGTTTGAAGTTGTTGGCCCGGTGGCTGATGTGCCGGGTCACAGACCCCGAGTAGCTGGACACTTGAGGCCTCCAGAAGTCCTGAGGGGCCACAGTGGGGAAGTGGGCCTCTCCCGGAGAGGTGCTGCTGGCCGGGGGGATCATCGTAGGCAGGGCGCCAGGGCGTGCCTGTGAGGAGAGACCACCGAAGGGCAACAGTTACTCGGGCCGTCTTTGTGAGACGCCCCCTCCAGTTGGCTCCTGCTCACCCTTCTCGCCTGGGGGAGGTCAGGTTCACGCTGGAAGACCTTTCGAGTCAAGGAGGGATCCCCCAAAGGTCAAGCTGGGGCCCGTGGGTGGTGCGACAGGCTCCACCGCCACACGCAGGCAGCCCACCGGCCCACAGAGACCACGGCTGGCGTGCTCCCCCTGTTCCCCCTGAGACCCCCATCCTCTGGCTCCCTGCTGGGGGGCTCTGCCAGGAGGTTCCGACCAAGGGTTTGCTTCTAAGGACGTGAGAGCAGCCTCGGAAGCCTCTCAGGCCCAAAGGACGCCGGCCTGCTCTGGACACATGGCCCATTTCCAGGGTGATTCTCCCCTTCCTGAAGATCCCAGGAGGTTCTGGACTGAATTGTGTCTTGCCCCCCAAAAGAAATGGGACAGACCTAACCCCTAAACCTTGGGATAGGACCCTGCTTGCAAATAGGGGTCTCATTTTGTGATGTTTTGTGAGGCCAGACCAAAGTAAGATGAGGCCCCACCCTAATCTCTTCAGAGTCTTAAAAATACAGAGCAGGGTAGAGATTCACACACACACACACACACACACACACACACACACACACACACACACACTCGTGCCAGAAGAAATTACCACCGAGGCCCCTGCTACAAGGAAAGTGCCACCACGGACAAGGATCACCGTCAGAAGCTAGAAGCCAGGCGAGAGGCCGCCAGAGAGAGGGCTGCTGCTTCGGACTTCTCTCCACACTGCGGTGTGAGGACGCAGGTCGCTGTTCTCTGCCACCACCCTGTGTGACTTAGCTTTCTTTATTGTCCTCACGGAAGCCAGAGGCAGGAGGAGACTGAGATGGGGTTGGGGGAAATGCAACTCTGGGGTTAGGGGTGCCTTTCTTAGGGGAGGGGCGAGACCCAAAGTCACAGCAGGGTGCCTCTGCTCCCCACCACGCGTGTTTAGACCTTGCCTAAAGCCTTCGGAAAGAGCGTCGCAAAAACCCACCAAATTCAGCACCCGCTGAAGGCGTGGGCTTTCGGTGAGGTCAGGCAGATGTTGTTTTAAAATGCTCTCGCTGGAAAAGTACAGTAGACCACTGCGCCCCGCCCCCTCCATCTGGTCCACACTGGAGGGGGACACAATTTTACAAACAGGGCAGAAGAGCCAGGTGGGGGTGGTACATAGGTTCCCTCCCCACCCCCACCCCCGCCCCAGCCTGCACGCTCCTTTGTGAACGCCCTTCATCGTGCCAGTGAAATCCGGATTCTTACGTAAGCAGACCCCACAACCCCTCCCACCCGGACTCTCTACCCCCCTGCCCCCTGTGCTGCCCAGGGGCCTGCTCCTGGGTACCCGACTGTCTTCTGTGGTTTGGAATTAAAATCTAGATCAGAAATATTAAAGAAATAGATTTTAACCTTCGACTCCATTTTACTAAGCACAGAGAAGGGACTTCCGAGATCAAAGAGGCAGAGGCAGACCAAGGGAGGGAGACTCGGGGGGCGGGGTCTCTTCAGCCCCTCCGCCACCCAGCTTACAGAAAAAGCAACCATCTGGGCTTCTTTTGAAGTCCCAACAACACTCATGGCTCTCCTGACTGGGGCGTTTGCCATTTACAATTGGAATATTATAAGCTTTCTTTCAAAATTGGTTTTGGGCTTAAGAAATGATGTCCTTGCTCTTGATAACACCTTCCATCTCACAGAGAGCCGAGAGCATTATCAGGATTCACTGTCGATTTCCTCAGTGCGGCCTGCAGACTTCCATCCCACCAAGAACTGCTTTCCTCTTCAAACCTCACGAGCGAGCGAGCGAGCGGGCGGGGGAGATGAATCTGGAGAGAGGCCCCCGGGGGGCGCTACTGGTGTTGGGTTGCTTTGGGTGCTAACTGGACAGTCAGCTGTTTGAAACCACCAGCTGCTTCACAGGGGAGGCTTTCTACTCCTGTAAAGAGTTACAGCTTCAGAGGCCAACTGGGGCAAATCTCCTCCGCTTGTAGTGCTGGAATCAACTCAATGGGGGAGAGCAGAATATTGAGCTAAGTCAACCTCCCACCCACCTTCCCATCAGCCCATCCATACTTCCTTCCCTCCTTCTTTTCTTCCGTAAACTCACTTATCTATCCATCCTTCCATCTGCAGTATCCATTCAACCTCCACGTACCCATCTACCCACATCTACCCATCTACTCCTCTAATAACCATCCATCCATCCACTGACCAAACTGTCCCCCACTCATCTGTCCAATTGTTATCCTGTGGTGGCTTGTGTGTTGCTGTGATGCTGAAAGCTATGCCACCGGTCACTCATGATGGAGAGGCTTCAGCAGAGCTCCCAGACTAAGCAGAGACTAGCAAGAAGGACTAGGCACTCTACTTCTTAGGGATTAGCTACTGAAGCTTTGTGAATTGGCTGATACAGTTCAGGAAGAGGAGACGCCTGGGGTGGAAGGCACTGGAAATAGGACTGGAGAAGAGCTGCGTCCCTCAGGTAAAGCCACCTGTGACCATGTGGCTGGAGCAGAGCTTGCAAGTGCTGCCCTTGCCGGCAGGGCACAATTCAAAAGGAAGAGAAACAGCTGCACATGTTGATCAATAATCAGTAAGTGGAACGCATGAAGCACGTACAGGAAAATTGGAAGTTGTCAAAAATAACATGAGACAAATAATGATCAGTACTATTTAAGTATGAATGAGCTGAAATGAACTGGTATTAGCTATTTGGAAGCAGATACTCTTATGGTTTACTATGTTATAAATGACAAATTCAAGAGGAAGAGTGTCATATTTCCAATCAAAAAGGTCATTTCCAGATCAATCTTAAAGTACAATGCTGTATGTGATAGGAATAATATCTGTACTCCTATAAGGAAGTTATTATCTTTTAAAACAAATATTCAAACCACTGAAATCAATGATGAAGAAATTGAAGAATTCTACCAACTTCTTCAGTCTGAAATTGATCAAACATGCAATTATGATGCATTGATAAAATGGGTGCATAAGCAAATGTGGGGACGAAAGCTGATGGTGCCCGGCTATCAAAAGATATAGCATCTGGGGTCTTAAAGGCTTGAAGATAAACAAGTGGCCAGCTACCTCAGAAGCAACAAAGCTCACATTGAAGAAGCACACCAGCCTGTGTGATCATGAGGTGTCAATGGGATCAGGGATCAGGATCAAAGACCCAGAACAAAAAATCATATCAATGTGAATGAGAAAGAGTGCGGAGTGGAGACCCAAAGCCCATCTGTAGACAATTGGACATCCCTTACAGAAGGGTCGCAAGGAAGAGACACGCCAGTCAGGGTGCAGACAACGAACATATGACTTTCCTCCAGTTCTTTAATGCTTCCCCCCCTCAATCATGACCCTAATTCTGCCTTGCAAATCCAGCTGGATCAGAGCATGTTCGTGGGTACAGAACTGGAAATACAGGGAATCCAGGAAACACAGGGAATCTAGGACAGAAAAGCCCCTCAGGACCAATAATGAGAGTAGCAATACCAGGAGGGTAAGGGTAAGGTGTGGGGAGAAAGAGTAAATCAATCACAATGATCTACTTATAACCCCCTCCCAGGGGGATGGACAACAGAAAAGTGGGTGAAGGGACACTTCGGTCAGTGTAAGACATGAAAAAATAATCATTTAAGTATAATCAAGGGTTCATGAGGGAGGGAGGAGGAAAATGAGGAGCTGATACCAAGGGCTCAAGTAGAAAGAAAATGTTTTGAAAATGATGATGGCAACATATGTATAAATGTGTTTGACATAATAGGTGGATATATGGATTGTGATCAGAGCTGTACAAGCCCCTAATAAAATGATTTAAAAAATAAGAGTGGCTTAACTGCAAATTGTATGACATGTGAATTTCATATCAATAAAACTATTTTTAAAAATTTAAGCCAAATTCAGAAGAGGATGTGGACTAAGGGATACCATTGTTGACATCAAATGGATGTTGACTGAAAGTAGAGAATATCAGAGAAAGGTTTACTCGTGTTTTATTGACTATGCAAACACATTTGATTATGGATAACATTTCAAAAAATGAGAATTCCAGAACACCTCCTTGTGTTCCTGCGGAACGTGGACCTGGACCAAGAGGAAGTCATTTGAACAGAACAATGGGATATTGTATGATTTCAAATCAGGAAAACTCTTAGTCCCCAAACATACTCAATCTTTGAGCTGAGCCAATAGTCTGGGAAACTGGACTATAAGAGAAAGAAAATGCTGTCGGGGTTGAGGGAAGCCTCGATATCAATCTGCAATATGCAGACGACACAAGCTTTCTTGCTGTAAGTGAAGAGGCCTTGAAGCACTTTATAGTGAATATCAAAGAATATAGCCTTTAGTATGGAATCCATTCCAACTCAATGTAAAGAAAACAAAAATTCTCAGACAAGATCAGGACAAACAGAAAAGATTGAAGTTGTTCAAGGTTTCATTTTCCTTGGCTCCACAATCATTTTAGAAGCCATCAAAAATGGAATGGACTGCATAAAGAGTGATATTCTCTGCGTTTGTGAGCTGAAGTGGACTGTTATTGGCCATTTTGAGTCAGTCATATGATTGACAATGCTGGCAATGGCATTATCAAGAGGAATGACATTGCATTCATTGTCAAAAAGGACATATCAAAATGAATCTTGAAGAGCATTGCTGTCTATGATATAATTATATCTATCTTCCTTCAATGAAATGCAACCAATACAACTATTATTTGGATTTATGCACCAACCACAAGAGCTAGTGATGAAGAAATTGAAGAATTCTACCAATGTCTTCAATCTGAAATTGATCAAATATGCAATCAAGATTCATGGATAACTATTGGCAGGTGGAATGCAAAAGTTGGAAACAAAGAAAGAGGTGTAGTTGGAAACAGTCTTGGTGATGGAAATGAAACTGGAGATTGCATGACAGAACTTTGCAAGACTAATGACTGG